CTGCTCAAAACTAGCACCAAAACTATCTTTGCGGAGTCAATAGATTTAAGGTAATGCATTACTCGTGCTCATGCCCCCCTGGCTCACATACTTTTCGAGACGCTGTTGCTGGGCAAGTTCACCAGTAGAAAAGAATGGAGGAAGGCCGGGCGGTGGTTTGAAATAAATGGACCAGACCGGCTGTCACGAGGTTCTGTCCTGGCAGAGGCCTCCGCTGGCAGCGCGCGGCCCCGTGGACGGAGCGCCCGGGGGACGGGCGATGGGCTGCCCCCGGGACAGCGCCGACCACTCTGCCAGATGGATGGCCCGCCACGGAGCGCTAATAATGGGCTCATTAGGACGACACTGACACCACGCGTGCATGCGTGCGGTCGGCAGGGCAACAGACAACTTACAGCGCGATGTCGGTAGAGATGATACAGGCTTTGGGTTATGGAGATAGCCTGAAAAATGCCTCACCTGTTAAACACGCATTTTTCTTGATTACCAGCCAAATTTTCTTGGCAGTTAAAACTATGTATTTTGCGCATTGTATCATATTTACCTTTCCATTGAATTAAAATACTTTTACATGAAATGTGAGCTATTATAGGTGCATTTATTCGTTCGTGAGTGCAACATAGTTAAAATGAGCTCCAGCCTCCAAACATTCATTACTTGCGCGTACTTGCGTTCTTGCAGAGTTTTACAGCACCCTGCACGCGGGCGCGAATACAGCTCCTGGTGGACTGTTATGGCCACCATTGGCGACATGTCTGGAGCTGTAAATATCACCCTGTCTGGGTGGACGGGCTGGCATTAACGCGGTCTGATGGTCTGACACTCTCCGGGACTGTCGGTCATTCTGATGGACATTTCGATGTTCCTGTGCAAGGGAACTCTGTCGCGACAAGCCTTCCGGGTAGGGACAGCTAAATAGGCGAGTCACCACATGGGGACGCACAGGTGTTGGGTGTCGAACTGTCGAGTGATCTGACATTCAAATGGAAAAGGTTATACGTCGCTTCATGTAGATAGAAATGAAAACAACTGTCTGTCTAAAATCTTGTATGAGCCCAACGTTGCTCATATATTCAATGTATTCCTCGCCACTGCCACAGTCAATATTTCACATTTATAGGTCGTTTTGCCTTAAAATGCGGATGCTTCCATCCCCCATAACTCTCGCGGTTCTGCCTGATCGAGGTTGTTTAGTGCTTCCGGTCGCCCGAACATAAGTGCCGCCAATGTAGATTATTGGCTATAGGCGGCTGGCTAGTTGCGAGGAACGGAACCGGAAAAGGACTAGAATACGGGGCTAGCCAGCTGAATACAAATCCAGTACACTACACAGGAAAATTACGGAGATTAAGACTGAAGTAACGAAATGATTCAATTTCGTCTTGAGATCAACTCCGGGCTGAAACAACTTCCAGTAGGAGCAATATCGGGAAAAGAGATCAGCAAACGAAACGGAAAATAGAAATTGTGAAACGACATCACTTCCGAAATTGCATTTTAATGCTTCCTTGATTGCGTTTGTAGCTTAATAAGTCTTGCTACTGCTGGCTACGTTCGGCCTTGCCAGGCTATATTTAATGTGCCTGCATTAGAAAATGCTGCAATTAAAGCTGAGTCCGTTCGCCTTAGCTATTCAATTGCTGCGACGCATCGGAGCACTTCTCCACTGAACTGAACGCTCACTCTCGGCAGATCAGATGGTTTCCTGGAATCCCCCTTAGTGTTCAATACATACTGTGGGAGCGAACTAAATCTGGCCCCGGGGACTTCCTGAATCTTGATGTCGCTTTTCGATCAAACTGTATTGGCTGGGCGGAGTACGCGTGTCGCACAGACGTCGGAGGAACACCGGGCTAACGCGCGTTGCACTGTTGCGTGTAGCTCTCTTCCTCTTGCGGTACACCGCAGTGAGGTAATTGTTCCTTGACAGGCAGGCTGCAGTATTAATGAGACGTTTACTTCCCGCCAATATTCGTGTATGACCAGCTAGGAAATGGAGTGTCAGGGTATGTGTCATGACAAGGATGTCCTCGTCGTGTATGCTTGGGTTCTGGGGAATTCAGCATATTTGACCGAGCTTTGTCTTCACCGATGTTTCAGGGTTGATTGAAGTGCATAATTGTTTCTATCGGGATTGGCCGATGAATATCTAAGGTATGCTAAGGTATAAAAATTAAAATTTGTTTTAAAACCTCTTTTGGTACAGTTTTCCTGATTGTCGTTGAAGGCATTTTGACAATTGAACGAGTTGGAAGCTTGTTGCCTTCAACTCGTTTTCTTCGACTAGAGGGAATCCCCTTGCAAGCTTCTAGGATCTAAACCGTTGATGTGGGAACAGCTGAAAGACACCGTCGCGTGACAGCACTTCATCTGGACATCAACTCACACATCGACGCACGCTTGTGCTCGAGATATAGTCACTGCTTGAGAGCTACGATGACTTCAACTACTAGTTGCGACTTTCTTTGAAAAAAAAAATTAAGAATGACACGACTGATTCTTTTTTGTCGCTGACTGAGAACAGCTAAGCTTGCCTCGTGGAGTGGAGTGGAATATTAAGTGTGCGGCGAACTTGACTTGATGCCACCGGAGCTACCAAATGCTGAATAGCTTAGATAAGACTACCACGGAGACCAGTCATGAGACTGACCGGCCACGGGGCCACGGGGCCGACAGACCCGGACCTGACCGACCCGCCGGCCAATCCGATCGATCTCGACCACAGTAAAGCCCACCATCACGGCAATCTGGCAGCTGTGACGTCACCGGACCCACCATAGTGGCAATATGTGTGACGTCATCAGATCCGAGATAGACGCAGTCTGCTTCGGATTGAATGCTAGGGCGCTGACCACGCGAAAACGCGTGTACGAAATGATGTCGCTGTATTTTAAGCCGTTTCAGTATTTTGGTTGGCTCCTATTCCTCGTACGCATTCCACGTGCACTGGTTAACATAATAGATGATAGTTTACATTATAGAACGTGATGATCCGTTTTATCCCATAGCTAATTATTTATCGGTTCTATTATCTGTGGGGCAATAATGAAGGAGGCACTATGCACATTTGTTGTTGACCGCATAGAGATCCTATAATATAAGATCTCTATGGTTAACCGGAGATAGTAACATAACATGAATTCATTTTTATGAAGCATGCTTTTAAATTTCTACCAAATTGAATTAAAGCGAAGCTCGAAAATAATCTTAAAATAACTGTTAGCTCGGCAAAGTTCAATAGTTCTAAAACGTCAATCCATCCACGATCCGCCAACCTCATGTCGGCTTCATCTGTGACTGATGTGAAGAGGGCCGGCCTCCGGCTCGGCAATATTAATACAGCCTTGGCTTGATGTTAGATAAGAACCGCCTTTTCCACCCTAATCTGGCTATTTCCGCTCCTTAACGGGATGATCCGTTTTATCACCGTTGACTTGCAACGCGATTGTATTACCGTGAAGGCTAACTCCACAGAGACACGTATTAAAACACTGTTTGCAGGGAATGGTATATGAGTTGAAAGCTGGCACACCACTGATGGTAGAATTGGACACTGAACTAAGCGGCGAGGCACGAAAGCGTTTCGCGAATCGGAGCCCCTGGTAGACTGTACCGCATGACATGGACGCCTGAAATCACACTGTGCCGCATTACTTGAATACGGCTTACCTATGCCTTGGTTGTCCGGCGCGGATGAACAGAAGCTGTTGCTGCCGAGATTCATCGTTTATTGATGCTCACCCTGATGTTAATGCTTAATTGCAGATTTTTTTCACATTACACCTCAAAATATTTACAATAAGGTGGGGAAATCATTTATTATGTGTCATATTCCAATGAGCTCCTGAAATAACGATGGCCCTATCATTCAGTTATCATTCTAATTGAATATCTAAGTTTGTGCACACACAGCGGTCATATCGATATCACCATTTGCTCTTCCTGTCTCCTTGGGGGGGGGGGGCATATTAAAATCTGTAGTGTTTGTTTCGTTGCGCCGTCGTCGTTTTTGCCCCTGATTTAGTCCGTGTTTTTAAGCCTAACTTAAGCTGACACTTGAAGCTTCTGATAAAGGATAAACTCATCATATTACCAGCATCTCATTTTTATTCAATCGAGGAATCACATTTTTCGCTCAAAGGGCTTTTATCTCAGTGATATTGCGAGATCTAACGTCTCGTTAGGGTTGTGATGAAATGCAATTTCTGTCCTAATCACCATGTTGTTTACAGATGCGTCGTTTTAATTTGCTGCTAGGGCATGTCGTTAGCAGAACGTGCGTCATTTGAATGCAATTGGCTTACTTCCGATTCAGCAGTGTCAGTAGGCAGACGTATGAACGTAATCTATGCAAATGGAAGAGAAGTTATCCACTCTAATTCCTGTTATACAAAAGCAGCGTAGATATTGACAACTACAAATAAAACGATAACTTGGGTTGTGCCGTTCACCCTTTTAACCGATCTATTGAGACCAATCGGCCCAGCCCTTATAAAAGCGGCTTTTGCAAGTCTTGCACATGCGCACTTGCAAACTGAGGCCTATGACCATTGGATTATTGGAGGCCTATGACCATACGTCCATGGAATAAATTTGTGAGCTCAGTGAACAGACTTTTGCCCTTGAAGCTCGAAGTAATCGAGCTTCAAGGGCAAAAGTCTGTTTGCACATGGCACACTATACAGGCAATTGATCTTTAAATGCTGAACAGCATCAACTGAAAACAGTCCGTTTGGATTCATACTGACAAGTCACTTTTTTGTTATTTCCTGTTAACTGATACATGCGTGCAACAGAAGCTTCCTCATCTTCGCCATCATATGACGGTGTTTTAAATCGTATAAACTGACCTAATCCCCTCATAGTGCAGTTGAATATATATTTTCTGATGACTCTCCGGCTCGTTTCAAGAGTATGATAACCAGAGGGTGGACGGCAACCCCCTCCTCAGCTCACTCTATGCGTTTTTGACGTGATGTTGATGCTCCCCCTCATTTCAGGAGTATGATAACCAGAGGGCGGACGGCGATGTCAGGGGCATGCTCACAAGTCGGGAGTTTATCGACATGTTCAAGGAGATCGCCACCCGTCCCGACATCTATTTCTTGTTACTCAGGTAACTCTAAAGTCTGTTGTACGTCTGATTCAGCTCAGTGTGGTAGCACACTTTCATTCATCAAATTAGTGTCTCGTGTTTTCTCGCGGCTAGATTGGAGCCCTAAAATAGAGTCAGTGGTGAGTTTCAGGTAACAAATTAGCTGCTCTGTGTCCAGTTATGTCGGCACTTTATTTTCGTGCAACAATTTGTCGTGCTTTATGGCATCATAATTGTAGAAAGGTGTGAGCTATTGTGCGGTTTTATCTTTTGTTCAAAGTTCTCGAAACACATTTGTTACTTTGTTGTCATATGAAATTCGTCTTACCTATGCTAAAATGTTAGTTAATACGTCAGTACGCTGTTTTCATGTTGATAATGGCGCCTTTTTAGTTAAATTGGGCACTAGCTAACTCATGTGTATTTGCATGTTTCAGGCATTCCAATAAAGAGTACATGACTGTAGAAGATCTTCACCTTTTCCTTGAAGGGGAACAAGGGGTAAGTTGTAAGCGCCAACATGTGCTGAAAAATGATATTGCCAGTCAGTGCTTCGTCCGGTTTTCTTTTATGGCTCCCTCTCCTTGTTGCCATCTTTGACTGCGTGTTTATTTTGCTAGGGCGGCCACCACCTGCTAGAAAAGACGCCCCCGGGACAGCCGGCAAACTCAATCAATTTCCCCGGGGGTGGACGAAACGGCCGGTGATTCGATTCAATTCCCCGGCGGCCCATCGGCGTTCTGACCGAGCCGGGACAGCCGCTGAGGCTGGCCGGCTGGGCCACCGCAATCTCTCGCGCTGCTGCCCGGCACCCCCTCCCCTCTCGGCCCCGCCCCTGCCGCCCCTTCTCTCCCGTAGAAGCACGCCATACACGGACACGCTCCCTAACCGGCGAACACCCGGTCAGCGGCCTCTGGTTCCGGCAGAGAAAGACAGAGGAGTACCATCGGGGAGGTCTAACACGGCGCTAAGTATGCGGGACATGTCTGTTGCGGATATTGCTACCCGTCTGGGGAATTAGACCGGCTGCCGCTGGCTGGAGGAAAGCAGAGGATGGGAACGGAGAGAGAGAGAGAGAGAGAGAGAGAGAGAGAGAGAGAGAGAGAGAGAGAGAGAGAGAGAGAGAGAGAGAGAGAGAGAGAGAGAGAGAGAGAGAGAGAGAGCAACTCATAAGAGCAGCATTATTTCGTAAGAAATTCATTCAAATATCTTTCTAGATACAGAGAACCTAAACTGAACATCGCAGAGCTTCGAAAATCGGGAATGCTTTCAAGTCACGTCCATGGTATAAACCCTTCGGCTGTTCTAAATGCAGCTCTCCATCTTCCAATAAAGCTGATTGTCTGCTTTGTTCGATTGGGGGGTCGATGGCCAATAACGACAATCGGGCACAATCCTCATTGGTTCGCCGAAACATCGATGAAACGGGACATTCACGGAGGCTCTCGATGCAAAATGAAAAATGAAACCACCCGAATTCGATTGAATAAATTTACGAAATGCAAGATGCGTCGTTTCAAGTTTCATCTATGCTGATGTAAGATTTTCTGTCAGCACAAGTTGCGCAAATTTCCTTCTTTACATTGGAGTCGTAAATCCGATGGTAACCCAAAGAAAGGGAAACATGATGAGGGGTTCACCGTTGACCAATCGCTTGCCTTGGAATGCATAGAATATAAGACCAGCCTTATAATGTTTATCGGATATCGTACCGACTTTGTACTAATCATCATCATCATCATCATCATCATCAGCCATAATCGTCTCCAAGACTGCCCGACGTGTAAATTTACAATTGATCGCAATCTATGTCATGCTATTGAAAGCAGTCCTTATTTTATAGTTAGTTGCTTCTTGGCGTTCATATCTCAATTATGAAATAAATATGGTATTTTTATGTACAACTTTCAATATTTCTTTAGCATCTATATCCAGCTGCCTAAACTGTTCAGGCATCATTTCAATTCTGGTGTGGATTCAGATGCGCATGTCAATACGATGACAGGAAAACATTGCAAAGAATACATTGTACCACTCTTCAATGCAAATATCAAATCATTCTAACATAACATGGCGTCCATCAATATTATGTGACGTAAGACCCGATATCTGCCTACTTGCGATTCAGTGACAGAAGTATACAAATAAATAATTCATCTGAGGGTGACTGATCTCGTGAAGGTCGCTCCGGCTCGCGGTGCCAGCCGGGTCACCCCTCACGTCTTCACCCGTCTCTCTGCCCCTCCCCTCCCCCTCCCACTCAGGAGATGCGACTGTGAAGCGTTGCGGCCCCGAATCTAAAAATAGACGGGGGTGGCGTCGTCAGTGGGTCAGTGGCGCGCACTGTCTCGCTGTCTGGGAACTGGTGGTAACTGTCACTGTGTGCTGCTCGTTGGTTAAATACCCATGGAAGCACGGTAGATCGATTAGTACAAGGCTTGTCCGGGCTGTATACGTTATAAGAAACACGAAAAGAGTGTTATATTTAACTAGTTGCTTTGCAGGTTTTGCCCGAAATGTCATTTTCAATTTCCTCCTGTGTTGCATAATGTTACCGATAATTGTTTTTACACATAGGTGCCTGCGGCGATTGTAAATATGCTTAAGCTATGAATTGGAGAGAATATTTTTTTTTAGAATTATCGGCTGTCAAATTTACGCCTGTATTGTATGTTATTTATATTGGCATTGATATATCAATTTTTAATTGTATATTGCTATCTTTATTATAATCAACTGCCCCACCAGAGATGTGACTATTTTTCAATTCTTTTTTGTGTCACTTCTACCACTCATGCATTTTTATTTTAATGTCACATCAGATTTTGTCAGTGCAGCAACATTCAACTCTTGACGATGCATCGCACACCGGAAACTAATCTTAACTCTTTCGTTTAGTTTGATCGGAGACTCTGAAATGTTTGCTTTCGATTTATTGCCAATAAAACCCGGCGGGTCAGGTGGGATTGACAGATAATAGACACGCTTGGCACGTCAGGACATTTCAGAGGTGTCAGTACGTGTATACCGGGATTTTATGTCACGCTACTGCTCCTTAATTTGTTTTGTGTATGGGTTTACGAGTAAATAAGCGATTACCCTTTCAAAATTACTCTCGATTGCCGTCAATCCAACATTCCAAGTCTTAGAAACTTTGGAAAGTCTTTTGTGGCACATCTGGAAAAATCTGAAATAAATTCGTTTCCTTGAAGTCTAGGAAAAAGATGTTCATTTCATAGAACTTTGTCACTGCTAAGTACTTTAGTTTCTCGTATCAGGACTGTATTACCTTATCTGCAATGCTGGGAATGAATTGCGATCGCCACTATTCACAATCTGGAGGGAAGCCAGTTGGGCTCTTTATCCTTCGGCGATCGTAACTTTGCCAGCGCTAGTTGAGTTATGTTGCATTCTTAAGGATAGTCTGCGGAGAGTCGTCTGAAAGTCACATTTGGAAAATTTGGCAGTGCTGCTACCCAATGTAGAATGTAGGACTGGCAGATGGAGGGAACATAACAAAATGACAGGTGAACGGCTAGTTCACGGCTCCGCCAGCTATAAACTACCCTTGCTCGAGAGGCAGCTAACATCTAACCACCGACTCATGCGTCACTGCTGTTTCTGATTCCCCCTGACTCGTTACCCATGTTTCTTATCTAGTATCTAATACCATACCCTGCCGTGTGAGACCAACAACTTACCACGTGTTTCTGTTCTCAGATGACGGGTTTAACGTGGGAGAAGTGTATGGACATCATCAAACACTACGAGCCGAACCCGGAGTCTCAGAGGAGTGGCCAGCTCATGATAGACGGTGAGTGATCCCCCACTCCCTCCCTCTTCCCTTTGGTGAGTGCTCCCTCTATCCTTTCCTTTTTCCTCGCTCCTTCGCACGCCTTCGCAGATGGCCCGTGACGGGTGACAGCTTGCACCTGTCAGCTCGTGGACGACAGGCCGACAGGACAGAACAGGTGCCGAGTTGAAAATGCGAACTACCGCTGCGTAGTGTGAGATAGTGCGACGCTGGTAGTTCTTGATAAGTGATCACTGATCGACGATCGTGCATCACTTGCGATGCACGAGCGCCTCGAGAGACAGGCCCAATGCAATGAACGTGAGGTTGGTGTACAGGACTCTCCGCCGGTACTGTAAACACACGATCGCCATCAGTGGGATTGCCCACGATTGTCGGAGCGCCGACCCGACAACTAGTCTCCGCGAAATCATCGGCGAAACCATCGGGCGGATTGAGCCGTCCACCCGCACTGTCGCTAACAGCCTGAGCATCGATCGCGCGGGTTCTCAAGCTGCTGTTTTGGTCTGGGTTTAAGCTGCAAGCTATTCGAGCTCAAGTTTTGAAAGAGGTATTTGTGGTAAATTCCCTTGGAGCCAACCTGCCGGAAAACTTGGCATTCACGCTTGGAAATGTGTGCAGCTTTGTAAAAACACATTTAATATTTCACTTACAATTGCAATCTGATAGTACCTAACCTACATCGCAGCTTTTTTCATTAATGTTTCAAAACAGGAGCCGTCGGTGTCCCTCGGTGCCAATGCGAGCTCCTCGGACGGTAAATGAGGTCACTGAACGCTGAACAGGCGCCTGCCCCATAGGATGCATCTGGTGTGCCGGATTTCTATTTAGCTGTAAGCACGTTTGCATGTCCCAGCGGCCATGAATATCGAATGGAGCGGCTGCGCGCGTGCCAGCCCGCACCCGGCGGGCTCAGACCGTGTTATGTAACACAAATGTCCACATCAATCTGCACTGGCCACTCATTATGTCCATCCACATTCCGGCTGTCCAGCCGAGCAATGCACGGAGCTATTCCAGGGAGTTCTGAAATACGCCGCCTCAGCCACTGAGTTTGTACGTGAGCGGTCGCCACGGCTGGTACGTGACAACGACCTCTTCAGTCTTCTCACCGGTGGGAGACACGTGGGTGAGGGGGGGGGGACTCACTCGACCGGGGACGCATCAGGTGTGCCTCTACTGGTGTACTATTTCTGACCCAGCCAAGGAGTGTGTTTATTTTTGGTGCGGAGGTAGCGGCGTTTACTGAGGATCAGGCGCTCTTAGCGCAAATTGAGACCGAAAGCTACGCTCCTCTAAAATTGTCTCAGCTGTTCGGAGAAATCAGGTATTGGATGGAAGTGCTGCTGAAGTCAAATAAGATCAGCCGTGTCCAGATATAGGTATGATTGAAATGCATGTCAGGTGTAAGACTTCTCAGGTTGCTCCGATATTCTTTCTGAGGTGCTATTTTTGCCTTGGCAGTGACGTTTTTGAACTGCATAACCGTAATAAAAATGGAACAAGAATTACGTCTAAAAAACTTTATTTATTTGAGCACTTGGGCTCAATGTGATCATTTATGAATAAAGGGCAGCATATTTTCAGGTTGACGTGCAGACAGCATACAATTCCCCAGACTCAGAACTTATGATAAAAAGAATGATTTTTGATTGTTGAGTAATCAACATAAATTTCTTAATGGTTATGAAAATAAAGAGTACCTAACAGTGTGCATACATGCCTGACTTCAATCGACAAGGATCCATGCTAGTACGCTGGTTCAACAGTGTCCTTCAAATAATCTAACTCAACAGGTACATCTTTTACGAATTTCGGACACAGAGTTTCGGCTTCAAAGCAGCGCACCATACGGCACCGATTCCCCAGCCTGCTCTCCTGTCTCTGTGATCTTACCTGTGTTTGTTTGCTCGAACACGACAGTAACTCGGTTCCATCCATCTCCGAGCAGACCGTGCGTGTGTTTGCCATCAGCCCGTGTCGCACAGGCGTCCGGCCTCGTCCGTTTGTGTTCAGGAGCTGGTGTATGCGTGGGGGCGGTCGCGCCGGCTCGCTTATTTGGTCTGCGCACGGAACGCGTGCCTGCGCTCCGGTACACGCGGCGTGTTTAGGCGATTGTAACGCACAGGTAGTCTGACGCGGAAGTGGGGTGGAGCGGGGAAGGAGACGTGCTCTCGTATGCATTGTTAATGCAAATGCATTTGAAGTAGTTACTTCAGGACAGCAACACTGTCTTGAAGTTTGCATTACCAGCTTGCATCTTACTTGTCAGACGAAAAAAGAGGTGCTGTTAATTCAGACATCAACTTACCTTCAAATCAGGCTAGTTTTATATATCTACCTAAAACCATGCAATGTTTTGCTTAGATTTTGCATCGACTAGACTTTGTCCGTCGTCAGTACTCGTCATGTTCCCGCTGTCCATGTGGGGAGTTCTTAGCCTCTGTGTCTTTTCTCCAGGCTTGACCTGGTCTGACCCCCTGTGTCTTTTCTCCAGGCTTCACCCGTTACCTGCTGTCGGCCGAGTGTGACGTCTTCAGCTGGCGGCACCGCAAGGTGTGCCAGGAGATGACCCACCCGCTGTCTCACTACTTCATCTCGTGCTCCCACAACACCTACCTCATGCAGGATCAGCTGCGCGGGCCCTCCAGCGTCGAGGGGTACATCCGCGCACTCAACAATGGCTGCAGATGCGTCAAAGGTGGGTGCTGCGCTCGGCAGCGAGGGAAGGAGGTTATTGCTTTGGGGCCAATATTCACCGCCTAATCTGCAGGCGTCGCCGGCGTCTGCAGAGGGTTACACAAATAGCTTTCCGAAATATGGCCGTTCTTTCTACTTACAGTTATTGCATTCTTTTATACTGCCACACATCATGGCCAACGGAAGTTGCGTCGTCTCAAAAAGCAATTAGCATATCAGCCTGCTGAATGTTTAGATTAAAACAAACATTTCTTTATTCTTTTTTCGGCAATGGATTTAACATCTTTACCATTCAGCGTATATGTATTTATGTATTGACACTTGGACAGAATAGCCGTGAATACGGAGTTCCAAACGAAATAAATGATGATGATGATCGCCTTCCGTTGGGTTTAAATGAGATTGTTAGTTGTCACCTTTTTTTACTTGCCCGTGCACGATTTTTTTTAATTCTATTCCAAATCATCTTTTCTTCCTCCGTCCTCGACGGCTAGTCAAAATCCGAATAAGAAGACGTGAGCAACCCATCGAGCAGCGTAACTATTTTGTGATTGAGTTACAATCCTCCTAGTCTCCCATCGCTGAGCTGTCAGTCGAGCAGAACTCGTAAGCTCCATCGATTCCTGTCAACTCCGCAGTTTCACAATCCGAGCCTAAACAGCAAAAACATCCGTAGGCGACGTGTTTCCAGTCTCTGAAGGAATCCCCGATTTGCGCCGTGTTTCTGCCTCTGCGACACCAATCAACAGGCCCGCTAACCCGCCGTTCGCGCCCTGCTAGGACAGGTCGACTGAAGATGGGCCGCAGAGGGGGCGATGTTTGCTCTGATCCCATCTGTCTGTTATCGCCGGTGATCATTAGTCAGAATCGTTAGGAATAGGACAGCCCCGTTTCCGACGATCCATCCCAGATTACGGCTCAGAGAATGGAACGGTCGGGTCGCTTTCCTTCTTCTTTGCCTCTCTCTCTCTCTCTCTCTCTCTCTCTCTCTCTCTCTCTCTCTCTCTCTCTCTCTCTCTCTCTCTCTCTCTCTCTCTCTCTCTCTCTCTCTCTCTCTCTCCCTCTCTCTTCGCTCTACTGTTTCCATCTTTTGTCGTGCATTCTTGCTCATCCGCATTTCTTCTTCCCGCTCTTCTTCCGACATTTTGGCTATTTTTTCTTCTTTTTCATTTTTTTTTATTTGCATAACAGTTATTTGATATTTGATGCCTGTAGTTTATGCATTATGATTCCCTGCAGAAGCAAAGGACTTGCTGACGCTTATCTTTTTTGCCTCACCGTTACTGCTGGTGGCTGCATTAGTTTGGGTCCGACGCCTCCCAGTAAATTGTCTAGCGAACTTTGGTGATCGTTTGACACGCCGGATATTTCCCATTTACCTAGTTACAGAAGTTTGCTTCGCTTCCGAGGATCGCGATTCTCTCGGCGTATTTCCGCCCTTCTTCGGGCAATATTGTTGCCATCGTTATTTGTTTGGCAGCGCAAACAGCGTCCCTGTGGCGCCGATATGGCCACTTAGACTCCATCTGGGCCGGCGGCTACGCCACGGTACTCGGCGTGCGCCGGGGGTAACGATACAAATACATTTCATATATCGCTTGGCGGAATTTTCTGAAATGTTTTGACTTATATGGACTTTTAGTGTCGTTTGATATAATGTATTTTAGTCTGTTATGTAAACAAGATTGTTTGACGAACAACAACTTTCATTCCAAATATTCGTACCGTGTTGGTTACACGCCACAACAAAGGGCTGCCTAATATCCGCGTCGGCATGGCGACACTGTGCTCACAGGCGGCTGACGAAATTGGGCTATCATCTGGCTGGCTATTTTTCGAGCTGTCCCAGTGTGGGAGTTGCCAGGCGAGCGTGCAGTCTCATCCCTGCTGTTTGCCGACCTGGCAACTTTAAACGGACGGCCCGCCGGATGCTCTCTTGCTATTTACCTCAAATGTTGCACTGTCCGGGGCTTTGTTAGTGGAAGCTGCTCTAAGTTGTCGAAGGGGGATCGTTTTTCCGTCTCTCTCAATATTGGTCACTGAAACTAGAAGCCCGTGTTATCGCTGAGGGTGGTTCGTGTCAGTTGTGAAATGTCTTGCGATATGGATAAAGATTAAGGTTTGAATGCCAGCAATTATTAAGTGTTTGACACATGAGAGTTAATAACATAATCTATTCTGAATAACCAAACATCTGTCATATTGAGAAGTCTCACGAATAGTGCAATTCTGCCTATCAGCTATCGCCTATGAGAAAACATGTGTCAAATGGAGGTCTCGTTTTTCCTCTCTTAAGACGTTTTCTTCTATTTCAATTACTTGCCCTAAATCGTTGACCCTACCGCATCGGAGTGTCCTTCCCCAAGATTCGCCTGCAACTGCAAGCATCCGTCAATATGGTGGCGCCTAATAATAGTTGATGCGACCCACATCGCGGCGTCATTCCCCGACTATTTCCAGGTCGATCAATAGTCATTCGCAGCTGCGCCGAGTCGCGCCGCCTTTGGCCCGTCTGTGGCGATATTGTCCGGCGGCACGAGCGTCCACCCGTTCGGCGCCGCGTGCCGGTGCCCTCTGCCCTTTGCCTACCCTGCACCTCTCCCTAGCACCTGATCGGAGCCGCTCTCGCCTCTGCCGTGGTTTCCCCCTCTCTCGAGGCGACGTCGCCTGCTTTACATCTGAACGATGGGCCGGCGGCGCGATGCAGAGCCGCGGGATTAAGTGCTGCCGCCCGCCGTTGTGAATAGCAAGGAGTGTTGACTGGCGGCGGAGTGGCACCACCAAACCGATCGATAGCCTACTCCATGGTGTGTTTAAGCAGGTAGCTAACAGGCGGTTACTGGCACCCAGTAGACGGCGACAAATTATTGGAATGCTAAGTGAAACAATAATGATAACCGAGAATAACCCTACTGTAATTCATATTGTCAAACTAAGTGCCTAATGAAATACAATTTATGCTCTGCAATATGAGTAAGAGTAGAGTAGATATGTGGGCGTGTGAGACCGTTCGTTTGAAGACAGGTACAATATATATTTAGCGTATAATTAGCTTGCCGGGATAATCATTATAAATGGAGTATATATCTATACTTATATATAGTGTGAGAGTTTCACGGAGGCGTTTTACGGCGCAACTGTAAGATATATTGTAGCGTTTTAGGTAGCTCGGATGGTTGTTCGCACATATTTATGCCGTTTTGTAGTTCCAAACTCCCAGCATATACCTAATAATTAAAAAAAAAAACACTGGTAGTACTCGAGCAGCTATCAAACTTTCGGAGCACGGGCATGCCTATCTCTCATACATTGTAGCAAGCACATCATTCAGGCGCTCGTGTTGCGGCACAGCATCATTCAGGCGTTTGTACTGCGGCCTGCGGGACAGTCTACCTTCAGGCGTTTGTACTGCGGCACAGCATCATTCAGGCGCTTGTGTTGCGGCGCAGCATCATTCAGGCGCTTGTAGTGCAGCAGAGTAGCATTCAGGCGTTTGTACTGCGGCCTGCGGAGTGCGGGACAGTCTACCTTCAGGCGTTTCAGTCTACCTTCAGGCGCTTGTACTGCGGAACAGTCTACCTTTAGGCGTTTTTACTGCGGCACAGCATCATTCAGGCGCTTGCAGGGCGGCAGAGTATTATTCAGGCGTTTCTGTTGCGGGATAGTCTACCCTTAGGCGTTTGTACTGCGGGACAGCCTACCTTCAGGCGTTTGTACTGCGGCACAGCCTACCTTCAGACGCTTGTAGTGCGGCACAGCATTATTCAGGCGCTTATACTCCGTTTACACAACACACCTTAGTAGCATCATATTTCGGGCGACTGTTGGTGGGTACAACCGAGGCGTGAGCCGAGTCTTGTTTTTTTTTTCACTTGGTTTTGATGTGATAGGATTGAAAAGTAGGGAGAGCGGGGCCAGTTGAACCACTTTTTATATATTGACATGCACAGCGAGATCTAGTTGACATATCGAAAAATGCACAATGCCATGAAAAAATATGCTCTTTTGGCTTTATTTTAAGATATGTAAAATTATGTTTCAAACATATTTTGCTGCCAAACGCATGCTTATAAAACAGCTCTACGCCCGTTTCAAATGACCCCGATGCGAGGGTCAATTGAACCAGCCCATGGGGTCAATTGCACCTATCCTTAACAATGGGATGTTTTCCTCTTTAAGGCCACTTTCTTAAGGAGATATTTTGTCCGGTTTACTTTTCCAAATGCTACATTCAATAGGTCGTTGGAAAGCTAAAAGTGCAAAGTTCCTCATAATAGGTGACATAAAGTACATAGACTATGGTAAAATGGGCGGATGAGGAAAATGAGAAATGTCTCAGGCTATAGTGTGCTTTCAAGCAAAAGGCTGGAGAAAAAGGGGTCAAAAATTGAGCTCTATTAAACTACTATTTCAGTTTAAAAGCTCATTACAAAGGTAGACTATTTCCTTTAATGTAACAGCCCCTGAACAATAACCATTGCAAAGGTCACCGGGGTCCATTGAAACGGCCTGTGACCCTGTTTCAACTGACCCTCAGAGAAGCGTTTCAATTGACCCCATCCGCTCCCGCCATCTCGCACGCGCCGTAAAGCACATGTCAAACGAGCTGGAGGGACGGCATCATGCTGAATGAAGGGCCAAATAAGGTGTTATTCCGGAGCCAGGAGTTCTTCTTTCAGCAAACAAAGGTATATGAGATATCACAAAATATTCATAAAAACGATTTCTTCCAAACGTCCCTCAAAAACACAAAAACAAGTGTCAAATCAAAATTACCGTCCGTTTGCCGCCCAAACGCCGTTGACAAAGGAAGTGGTCGAGCGCGGATGCGCAGTGGTGTCGGCAACGCCATATGTTGCATACTGTTGAAAATAAAGCCATGTTTCATCTGACCCCGTGTTTCAACTGGCCCCGCTCTCCCCTAAAATATATCTTATTTCGCTGTGTTAATCTTACATTTCGCATAATACTATGTACTATGAAGTCACATGTTCATATAATCGTTATCAATTCTTTGAATTGTTTAGGGTTCATAATTATGCTAATTTGTACCTAACCATCTTACATGCGCCGAAGTTTGAAAACATTCAACAATAAAATCGCTTGTTTATTCTTCACGCTTCTATTTCGCAGTCACCCTATTCACCGGAATAAAGGTGGACAAACGGTCGTCTAATTACGCCACTTATCGCTCTGCGTCGGAAGCGCGGTGGTCGGGTGGTTGTTTGTTGTCACTGTGCGGCGGCGGCGCCGCTGTCAGCGTGGGGCTGACGTATGACTGTAATCGGGCCAGTGCAGACGGTCCTACCGGCCAGACGGACGGAGGGGCCTCGGCGGTACCGATCGGCAAAGGAGGGTTGTCAGGGGCGTCGTTTTGTATAGGCCTGGTAGGGCCCGAGCCTTACCAATGTTTATTTAGGCCCTACCAATGTTCGCTGAGCCAGGCTACCAATCTTTTGTCACTTCTCAGTTGATAAAAAATCAAAATAAACAGATAAGCAAATATTAAATAAGCACATATGCAAGTAAATAAATAAGGTTCTAGCCACAGTAGGTGCATGTAGCTGACAATGAGGTTTCACGTGTCTAGGACTCCGGTCCTTAATGGATTTTAAGAGGCTCGAAAACGCAATTGGTTATAGAGGTCCATAACTGCCTCTGAGTCCCGCATACCACGCGACCGCCCCTAATAGACCCCGATCCGTCTCCACACCAGCCGCTGGAGGCCCTACACCGACTTCGGAAGGTGCCGCGGTGCTCCAGAATAGGCCATAGGTATATTGATTTGAGTGGGTGATGCAGCCTGATTCCCCAGGGTTTAACGCCAGGTCATTACCGCATCAGACCCCGAAAACTGAAGCTCGTAACTACGAGGGGCGTTCAAAAAGTTTCGGGCCGAACAATGAAGGAGTTGGAATTTTGGCCTGCAAGGCGGTGTGTTAAATGATGTGTTATTGGGATGTCCACTTACGCAAATTAAGTAAGTGGCCATTAATTAAGTATCTTCTGTGATTGATTCGGGCTTCTATTCGTAGCATAGTTCGCCATTTCGGATAGGATGGGCGACGCCCAGAAGAGAGGAGTGATTCGTTTCATAGTAGTTAGTGCAGAAAAGGCACCAAGCGTTAACCCTCGCCCTGGGCATTTTTCATAACACGGCCTGGCAGGGGGAGGGGTCGATGCGACCCCCCTCCGCTCGTCAACTTTCCAAAACAGGGGCACACAATTGATGTGCGTCCATTCGATAAACATCGAGGAGAGGCTATAGGGAAGCTGACGTAAAGTGTGCACCTGATCCGCGACCACGCACCTGCGTACATGGGCGGGATGACGAACAGTGAAGCGATGAGCTTCGAGTTGTTGTCGCATCCACTTTTTTCTCTCCGAACCTTGCACACTCTGGTTAGTGGTTGCCACCTCTTCCCCAACATAAGAAAATTAGCAGCGGCAACCTCGCTAACAGCAGGGAGACGAAATCAGCCGTCTTGGACGTGCAGGATGGGTCCAAAACCCACTTGTTTATGGAGGCCTTGAGGGCTCTCGCGAAGCGCTGCGCGAAATGTGTTTGTCTTAACCCTATTCCTGGCGGGGGGGCCTCAGGAGCCCCCCCCTGAGGTTTTTTTGGTTATTTCTCCCAAACGCGTTGAGCTAGGAAGCTCAAATTTTCTGACTTTTCCTATAAGGCTTCTACGCAACATGTCTGAAAATTTTGAGTTGATCTGACCTCAGGTCAGGTCACCAGAGGCGGTTTGGTGACCCTACCTCAGAAAAGTTTGCAATCACGCCAGAGCTAGAGTTTTTGACCGATCAATTTCTTCTCTTCAGGCTTTAGTTAGGGTACCAGTATGTGCAATTTGTATATCTCGGAATTTTGATATCGGTGACCTAAGGTCAGGTCAATTTCGCGACCTCCCCATTATAAGTCAATGGGGGAAAAATCAACTCCCTGTTTTTACCACTAAAACGGGTCGGAATGGCCCCATATACCATACATGACTTCATATACGATCAACCTTCACTACCTTGAGGTCTGTTTTGCTGTTGGGCAGCTGTGAGGTCATGTGACGTCATCAAAGGTCACCAAAGGTTTTTGGCCAATAACTCCGTACAGGAACAAGATACAGACGCGTGGATGGTCTCATTGTGTTCAGCTCGTCAAGACGCATCGAATGATATACATGATGACCTCGAGGTCACGTGACCTGAGGTCAACCTTTGACCTTGACCTTTCGAGGTCAACATATATATCATTCGATGCGGATTGACGAGAGGATCACGATGATGCCCTTAGTTTGTTCCTATCTTGACTAATTCGAGAGTTATTCGAGAAAAACTCTCTCCATATCTAGCGCCGCCATTTTGACTTTTTCGACCCCTGTGACGTCATCTTTGACCTGACCTGAAAATGACCTTAGTAAAAATTGTAGACCTTGTCCATGCGTATCCGATGCTGTTTACCGCTTGTCGTTATCTTGCTTCGTTCTCGAGATCTCAGGGGGGGGCCGAATCGGCCCCCCCCCCCGCCAGTTTCTTGTCCCGGCGGAGCCCGCCAGGAATAGGGTTAACGGTGTTTATTTGAATAAATGAACTTTTTGGTCTAATGAGTCGATGCTGTATCTCTCTGCTCCTTCATGGTCGGGCCCGTAGCTTTCTGAACGCCCCTCGTACTGTCATCCTTTTATTTTGGCAAGCAGGTCTTTCTAACTATCGTGTTTCCAGTCCTCGTTAGTTGTCGAACCCTTCAATTGGCGTGGGTCTTCAAAACCGTTCCTGGCCCCGCAGCCGTCGTTTTTAGTCGGCTTGGGCCCTCAAAGCTGTTCCTGTCCCCTTTCAGCACAGCCGTCCTTTTAAGTCGATGTGGGCCTCTTTCAGAATGGCGTGCATTCCTCCGACACTATTGCCTATATAACTGCACGTTTTGTGCATGGCGTCCGGTGTGGACCCAGATTTCCAAAGTTTTTTTTTTGCGTTTTTTTAGATTTCGGTTAGTCTTGTCAATGACCAGGGCGAAAAATAAGTGGCCGAAATCCGATGAGAAAGGCAGATTTAGGGGTACCTTACCTTGTAAGCCCCGTCATATATGGCCAGCCGCCGCCTTTGGGCACTACCAATCATTTTCGGAAAACGACACCCCTGAGGGTTGTTGTAGCACTCGGTGAACTGCTGTCGGAGATGTAATGATTGTCGGGGAATCGGGTGTTTGTTGTCTGGTAGGGACCGTGGTGTTTCGTGATGGCATACAGCTTCCCGGACTTTGCTGGTGATGTAACAACGGGTGCTGGAATCAAGTATGCTGGAGTTTCCACCTCTCGGTCGCAGAACACTGACTGCGGCTTCATCCACTGCCTACATAAATATACATCATTTGAATCCATCCATTGATTGTCGTCAGTTACATCACCGGCTACCGCCACAGGCTAACCTTGCCGACCACCACCAGCGTCCGACAGTCGATAGATGCTAACTGCTCAGCTTGCCAGCGACCGTAAGCGCCCGTCTAACCACCGAACGCTAGCCGGCTAACCGACTGCTAATTCTTTACCGGTAACGATTGGTCCGAACGCCGGCATCGCCGGTCATTGAACGCCGGCCATTGGAGTCTAATCAGCGTCTAGCCAGAGCGCTGGCGCTGATCGATGGGCGCTGACTCCCCTCTGACCGATTACTGATGACACAGGAGGGACGGACACACGGGTCCGGCTCTCCTCTCCGCTCTCTCTCCCCTCCTCGCTCCCTCTGGTCCCAGTTGCCGGACCCTGCCAATCGTCGGAAATGTCACGGCCTGCCGACATTAGCGCCGTGACCCGTCGGCTCCCGCGAGATAGCGAGTTGTGATGCTGTGCTACTCATGCATGCGAGCTTATGGGATCAATATCTTGCAGAAACCCAGGCAACCTCATCTATGCCTCGCTTCTCTTATACCCTCAAACACTGTTCAAAGACACCGTCTTGAGTGACACCTTAGCGTCTTGTGATCGCTGCAATAATGGTGGCAGTGCGAATGTGGAATACCAAGAAAGTGAACCCTTTGAACCTGAATGTTAATTCGTACTAAGACTGCCGTCGACACTTCAGAATGTCTAGACTTGACTCTGGCCGTGCAGCGTACCCACTTTGGTACGTAGGGTTCATATCGCATTGTCTCATTAAGCAACACCGATCTAAAGCTGATGCCCCGTCTGCCCGACTGGTAGCAATAACTCAAAATTATCCTTCCGATCTCCAACTGTGTATCAATAGATGAGCTGAGTCTACAAGAAATGGAATAAAACTCTTTTCCAAATGAGTCCCTTACCACTTCAGTGACTGCGGTAGAAATCCGAAGCTAATAAAAACACTCTAACACTCCGATTCCAAATGCTCCCCGAAGTGCAATGATTGGAATGAGCACGCAACTTTTTTAATTTGCCTGCTGACACTGATCGATTCCTCCGCAGTGGACTGCTGGGATGGTCGAGACGAGGAGCCGATGGTCTACCACGGCAACACTCTGACCTCCCGGACACCTCTGCTGGATGTCGTAAAAACCATCAGCGACTACGCCTTCGAGGTGTCCGAGTGAGTTCCGGGCTCTCCCGTAGTCAGCCTCCGGTGGTATTTTGTGTGGAACGCTTTTGTGGATTCCTTTATCTGAAAAATGAATGCTGTTTTGTAATTCTATTGTGTCATATACCACACAAGGCTTTTCTTTACAGGAATACGGCTTTCGTTTTAACGGCCACTTTTATGACAAACTGTGACGTTAATGCCACAATTTTCCTTACAAGACGTTTCAGTTTTAGCTAGTTTCCGCAAGATAATGCTTTGTGTCGACAGCCTTCTGGTCTTCAACAAAAATATTGCTAACTTTCAGGATGTTATTCAGTTCTGAGAGATTTCTTTGACTTCTCCACCAACATGTCTTCCTATCGATAGTTTTGTTCTAGTTTCATATTGAATTGTCAATCTTCTGTATACCGTAATGCGTTTTGATATTGAGTGGGGTAGACAGTGGAAGTACTCAGGCATTTATTCTTTACAAACAGTTGGAACAATTTGTCATTTGTTTATAATTGCTGGTCGCCAGCAGCAATCATTTTTATATCATCCATCTTTATAAGGCGTGCACAGTGACATTTTCTTCAAACTGTTGTAGTACTCCACTGACTTCAGTTACTATTGTTTTCCGCAGCTACCCGTTGATACTGCACTTGGAGAACCACTGCAGTCGACCGGTACAAAAGCGCATCGTCCAACTGCTGCGGGACACTCTGGGGAAGCGGCTGTACGTGCACCCCACCAACTGCCGCAAACAGGTCACAGAGCTGTCCCCGCAGGAGCTCAAACACCGCATCCTCATCAAGGTGAGATAGCTGCCCACTCATGCCCAACTCACTGCTCTTTGTCAATCGTATTATGTTATGTTTTGTCCTTCCTAGAAACTATTGCTTGTGTCCTGTTAATCGATTCCCGAATATTATTTTCATAATAAAGCGTTAAACTATACGAGTCGCCGGATGCTTCTGCATTCGCGACGTGAATTGTGACTTTGGCCGTAAATGGGCATGTCCCGTGGCTGATATGGTGAATAAATGAAATGAAATAAATGAAATGACGTACTTTACTCGTGTTACATCGGAACCGATAGCAATCCCTGTATCCAGACACGCATCTACCCAAGATTCTTTCAAGCATAGTGCATGTAACTATCAAATATTCCTCCCCCGACATCTGTGTGCCGCAGGGCAAGAAGCTGCCGGCCGGCACCGAGGGTGACGGGGATGTCAGTGACGAGGACGAGGGCGGCTCGTACCGGGCCGACTCCCGGAAGGTGCCGCTCTGTCGCGAGCTCTCTGACCTCATCAGCCTACACCGAACACGGCTCACAGAAACAGCCGGCCTCAAGGAGCGAGGTGGGTGGGCAACGGGGCGGAACGAAAGGGGCGGGACGGGAGGACTGAGGGCGAGATGGGACGGGACGGGAAGGGACAGGACGGTACAGGGTGGGACGGACGGGAAGGGACAGGGCGGGACGAGACGGGATAAGGCGGAACGGGACGGAACGACGTAAACGTGAGGGAAGCCGGGAGCGGGTGGGATGAGACGGAATGGGACGATATATGCGAGATGGGATGGGATGTCGGGCCTATTGGAATTGGAGGGATTGAGCGGATGGTCAAACCACAGGTTGGAAGGAACGACACATGTTGCATGTTGATATTAGGCAAACCATGACTCTAAGTTTGACTTTCAGCTGAACTGGACATGGAAGTGGTTCTGTAGTCTGTGTCAGCGTCAGTTCAGAGCATCGGCGATAACAATCTATTTCGTGGTATTGGACAGCTATTTTGGTCTTCCTTTCCATTAACTTGTACTGCAGGAGTGTGTTGGGTGCTGTTAACTGACAGGACTACCTTGTAACTGCCGGGGATTATCACGCCAGTACATTGTCTTTGTATGTTGTCACGGTCAGTCCGTCCCATCACTATATCTGCTTTGCAGGTAATAGTCTATGTTTTTCTTGTACTATTCTCATCCATATATAGTAATTCATTATGTTTCCGAAGCTCTGTTTTTACTTCAGCTAGTTTGCACAGTAAATGCATAAACGTATTTATTACCAGCGTATCGTTCTTTCAACGTTGAACATTTCCCTAAAAGTGTCCATCATTACGGCTGTCCTGTCGCGGTGGCGGACCATCTCTCGTTAGTTTTGGTCACTGATCCGACTCACAGGATACCGACTGGTCAGGTGCGGGCGGCTCGTTCCACGATCACTCGCCTGGACGTCCAACTCTCCGAACGGCGCCGTCACTGTCGCGCTTCCGTGCCATTGATGCACTTGGAAGTGGTCGTGCTGCGAAGCTGAACTAATTTGGCCTCAGGTGGCCAAGCTTTCAGCCAATCAGTGGACGGGACCTTTTTATCTCTCTGACACTCTCCTCTCTCTCCTCTCCTCTCTCCGGTGCCCTCCCTCTCCTTCCTCTCTCTCTCTCTCTCTCTCTCTCTCTCTCTCTCTCTCTCTCTCTCTCTCTCTCTCTCTCTCTCTCTCTCTCTCTCTCTCTCTCTCTCTCTCTCTCTCTCTCTCTCTCTCTCTCTCTCTCTCTCTCTCTCTCTCTCTCTCTCTCTCTCTCTCTCTCTCTCTCTCTCTCTCTCTCTCTCTCTCTCTCTCTCTCTCTCTCTCTCTCTCTCTCTCTCTCTCTCTCTCTCTCTCTCTCTCTCTCTCTCTCTCTCTCCTCGCTGCAGTACTCTGCCTTCCAGCTGAGTCCATTGTAAAGCAGTGTGTAGCGATTTTTTTCCCGGTGTTTCTCCGTTCGTAAATGGGTAACTGATGTACTAGTAGTTATACTAGTACTATCAGTATCAGTATGTACTATCAGTATGTACTATCGGTACATCAGAACTGATGTACTGATGTAAATGGGTAACTGATGTACTAGTAGTTATATCTGTGTTTGGGTTTCAGGGTCGTGGAACGAGATGTGCTCATTGAGCGAGTACACTGCCAACAAGCTGATCCAGACCTGTCCGGAGGACTTCATCCAGCAGAACAAATCGACGCTCACCCGCGTCTACCCCAACACTTCCCGCGTCGACTCCAGCAACTACAACCCGCAGGACTTCTGGAACGTCGGCTGTCAGCTGGGTGAGTGGAAGACACAGCCGAACGACAGATGATTTTCTAGGCAGGAATTGGCGCCCGAGCGAACGCGTCGCGTGCGCTGCAGCGAACACGGTGGAGATGTTTGAAACAGGGCCTCCTCTAACATACCCACTGGGTGGGCAAATGCCTACCCAGTCACCACAATTGCCCACCCAGTGGCGTCGATTTGCCCACCCAGAAGCAAATGCAAAAATAAAGGTCCGGCCAGACGTCCGGTAGGAACTACCACTTCGGTTTCCCGGGAAAAAAAAACTTGCTAGCAGCCATTGCCCCAGCCCCCAATCACTGCAGTGCAAGTTATTTTTTACAATGGATGCATCTGAATGCAGGGGCGGTAGCAGACTTGGCGTTTGGGGGTGGGGGCAACTTGGCAACTTTGCCAACCCTCGGAGGGGGGGGGGGCGGTGCTAGCTTACAGGGGCCCATGGCCATAGCGGCCTCAAAGGCCCGTATGGGACCCCAGAGGCCGATGTGGGCTCTCAGAGGCCAGTGCGTGACGCCTAAAGGTGTAAGCCATGGGTCCCCAGCCAGACAACAAAATAGGGCCATCAGAGACCTTATAGGCTGATTGGGGACTAAATAAGGCCTCAATTTGGAGCCATCAGAGGCAAATGTGGGCCTCAGATATCAGTGTGAGGCCCTTATAAGACTGACATTGGTCCTCAGAGACCGGCATCGATCCTTCAGAAGCCAGTACGGGCCCCTTAGAGGCACAAAAGGGCCAGTCTTGGATCTCAGAGGCAGAAAATGGGCCATCAGAAACCGGTGTGGGACCTTTAGAGGTCGGTTTGTGCCCTCAGAGGCCAGTTTAAGGCCCTCAGAGACCAGTACAGGGCCTGAAAATGGCAGTTTGAGGCCATCAGAGGCCGACTTAGGCTCTCAAGTCTCAAAGGCTAATGCGGGTCCTTGAGGCAAGGATGGGGCCCTCAGGGGTCAGTGTGGCACCCTAAAAGACAGGCTTGGGCTGGTGTTGGACTCCAGAGTCCAGAAAAGGCCAAGTTGAGCCCTCAGAGCCGATGCAGGTCCTTAACCCGGCAGTTGCTGGGGTAGTTCGCCACCCACCGTTTGCTGGGGGGGGGGGGCGTTAAACGCCCCCAGCCGATAACTCGAGAACCAATAGGCGCAGCGAAACGCACGAGGCGGCAAACGAAAGAACGCGACGAGACGCTTCAGATGAGTACTTTAAAGTTGAATTTTGAGGTCACAGGTCGGGTCAAGGTCAGGTCAAACACCTGAAATCGGACTTTCAGTAGCATGGACTTCATCACAATGGGCGCCTCTCGTCATAAAATCTGTCAAAACGGTGCACAATCCATCATATAAGGCCTACAAGAGTGTCAGCTCCATGTAGGGGTCAGTCAAGCATAGGTCAGGGTCAAGGTCAGGTCAACCGGGTAGACACATATCCCCGAAAATCAAAACTGATATTCGCAGCCTGTGACACATGTTTTATGGGTAATTTGGGGCGTAGAACACGATGGTGACATTCATTTTATCATATGTGTACGTGTTTGGGTCAAAAAGTTCAAATTAAGAAATGCATGTATCATGGTCGTGAAGAAGTCATGAGAAATTGCCAAGAATCAGATCAAGATTTTGGAAAATGCGGAACGATAATCAATAATCGAAGATAGCCATTTGATTGTTCATGGTATTGGCAGTCTAATAGCGTTTACGGCATGTCTGTATGTCTATTCTGTGATTTTATATGATTTTTTGAACATATAACGTTTTTGGTCGAAAACCAAGAAATCATGACGTCATTGAAACCTCGATATCTCAAAAAATTTTCGGCCGATTCTTTTCAAATTTTGTCTCAATAAACGTCAAACAATTCCATAGAGGCACCCAAAATTTGGCGCGCCTGCGGCGCGCCATTTTTTTGCTATGGCCCAGCGAAAAAAGTGGGGGCGTTTAACGCCCCCCCAGCAACTCGGGGGGTAACCCTCGCCCGTATAGGGGGGAGTCGAACGGACCCCCCTCGATTTTTTGCGAATAACTCGCGACCTGTGACCTCTTTTCCGTGACCATGTTTGGCCGAAATCGCGATTCGGCGTATGTCGGCTCGCATTAGCCGCGCGTTTGCAAGCTTTTCGTGGTTTCAAACGTTCAAACATGTGATTTGATGTTGCTCCCATACATAAGGGTGGGTGTCAAGGTCACCTGAAGGTCAGGTCAGGTCATTGACCTTTGGTGACCTCGGGTGACCTCGGTTCACTTTTTCGAGTTTTTTTTTCATGTTCTAGGCTAGTTTTTTAGCTGAATTCGAATTTAGCAACCATTTGAACATTTACGAAGTAGTTTTGGTGCCTTCGTAACATGTTACGAAGCTGTCAGAGGCGGTTGACACGTAATACGAATACCCGTCACAACCGCTACCGGTTGACCTGACCTGACCTGACCCGACCTGGTCTAAATGCTTAAAACATCATCTCTGATCAAAACTAACACGATATTCGTGATCATCACCCCGGAAAACCACATAGCAGCCATACTCTACGACTTTCTAACAGGTCCCGATTTTCCCCGTTTTCGGGTCATTGACCTGACCTGGGAGGTCACCCGATGACCTAGGACCTTAAAATTGGGTATCATCGGCTTCCTCTCGTAACGGGCAACACGCTCGTTTTTTCCGTGAAGCTCTAGCTTGATCAGGGGCGAAACGCGAGGGGGGGGGTCGTGCCGCCGAAGGACGCAACATGGCCTGTGCCGGCGAGGGTTAAAATTGGGTATCATCGGCTTCCTCTCGTCACGGGCAACACGCTTGTTTTTTTTCCGCGAAGCTCTAGCTCGATCAGGGGCGAAACGGCAAGGGAGGTCCAACGCCCCCCCCCCCCCCCCTATACGAGTACCTACGTTCGCGGCTGGAAAAAACACCAATACAGGGGATGGTTAAAGGCCGGCATCGGGTCTTCAGAATCCAGTGCGGGGCCCTCAGAGGCTAATATGGGCCTTTACAGGCCAGCATGGGGCCTCAGAGGTCAGTGTGGGACCCTCAAAAACCGGCATGGGCCAGCAGGGTAGCGCGCTACGGTAAAAAGTTGGTATTTCCCTCATGTTCCCAAGTTGGTTTGGTTTCGGTATTTTTCATGGTTTTGATTGGCATTTGATTCGGTATCGGTATCCTGATTTTCCGTTATTGACATCACTAATGTAGACAATAGGCATACCTATAAGGTGAAATACACACGAAATACCATATCACACACGACAAACGTTAAACTATAAATGGCACAGTTGGTTGACTGTGAAAGTGACATAGGCCTTAACCCCCCCCCCCCCCAGTCGCAGGTGAGAATGGTTGCACCCCAAAACAAGTGACTGGATCTGCCCTTGGGCAGGGGAGCGGCGAAAAATTTTGCCCACCCAGTGAAAAATCCTTAGAGGAGGCCCTGGTTTGAAATGTTTTCCATCGTAAGTACTCGAGCCTGACGCGGAACGGCTGTCGAAAAGGAAAAGGAAAAAGCCGAATAAAAATGCTTCGACCTTTCGACTTCTTGGTAAAACGCATCACTGAGAAATTGGCTATGTGCGTGGGTTACTAGCTGAGAGAAGGGCATTGTGTGAGAAGTCCGCTCCTCTCGCGACGAACGGAGATCTCGCGTGCTTCGTCGCTCTTTGTGCTCGGCGCTGGTTGCGTGTGTGGCTGGCAATGCATCTGCAGCTGTCGCCAGCAGCGGTGGAGGGGTCCGACACCATCCTGCTCAGCTGTTTCCCATCTCTCCGCCCTCCGCTATCAGCACTCTACCTTCTGCCCTCCGCCCTCCGCCCTCCTCCCTCCTCCCTCCGCTATCCGTCCCTCGCTCCGCTCCCTGCCCTCTGACCTCTGCCCTTCTCCCCGTCCTGTGTTCTCCGTCCACCGTCATTCATCCGCTGCCGTTCTTCCTCCACCCTTCGCCCTCCAACCGGTCACGGTTTCCACCATCCTACCTTATCCCTCCGTCTAGTTACCTTCTAACTTCCGCCCTCATCCCTCTCCCTCCTCCTTCCGCCTGTTCCCTCCGCCCTCTTTCCACGTTCCCTCCCGCCTCCCTCTGCACTGCCGCGGCTTCGGCCGGCTGGCTCTGACGCTTCGCTGACGGATGGCAGTCATCTTGTGGCGTGGCCTATTCAGCCCAGCTAGGCAATAAGGCTACCTACCACGCATTCGCGGCGCCCAGTCGAGTTGGGCCAACGCTCGCGGCTTCACGACTCGAGGGTTGAATGCTACCGCTGGACAAACACTTCGAGGAATTTAATGTTGTGCGTTTTTGGTTTAAAGTATTTTGTGAAAAGTAAGTTAGAATGTTGATGCAATGAGTATGGAAGTACGGGAAGGTATAGAGGCTGAAAAAAAAGCGGAGGAAGACGAAATAAACCCCCACTATGCTATCCCAGTCTATGCTCGTGCAAAGTCTTACAACTCATCTCGATGTTTCCGTTTCAGTGGCACTCAATTTCCAGACCCCAGGTACCATGATGGACGTGTACGATGGACGGTTTCGACAGAACGGCTGCTGCGGCTACGTGCTGAAACCGGCCGTGATGCGGGAACCTATCGGCTTTTTCTCACCCTTCACCAAGGACCCCGTGCCGGGAGTCACACCGCAGATGCTCAAGATCAAGGTATGTGATACTTTGTACTTAGCCCGTATAACGTAAATAGCTTTGATAAACTAGCTCAGAGAAAAGGTTAGTTTGAATAAAACCTGAAAACCTAACAACATGAACTGTGATTTACTTGATGCCTCGTGTCTCGTGAATATCTTATCGCACCCTCTTCAGGCCAAGTACTCACATACGCACATACCTACATACATTCCCCGCGCCAGTTGCTGTTATGATGTCCTGCCCGATTGCTTACCGCGGCAGCCTGGTGCGGCGCGATTCTGTCCGCGGCAATACCCCGTTCGCAACTATTTCTCCCGGTGGTAATTGGCTGTCAGCGGCAGCGTGGTGCGCGGTGATGGAAACCGTGTGCCGGTGACAGTAACGGCTGATGCTGTATACACGCTGGTGCTGACGGATAACACCGTGGTATACGTGCATTCACCGACGGAAAATGCAATCAACGGAGGCATAATATGAGCGCAGAATGCGGTCAAATCGGCGTACGGTGCCCTGTATCGGTGATGTTGATGGGACAATGCGCCTGTTGCTGGGATCAAATTAATGCTTCTGTCACAAGACTTTGCAGAGATCAAGCAAGTTTCGGCTTCTTCGCTATGCATTACCGAGCAACGACCAAAGCCATGGGTTTATGCGTGTAGCGGAAATTGAGAGGCAGCTTAAAACTGTATGGATGAATATCGTACCTATTTCCGGGTCCACCGCATGTGCATTCTTCCCTTCCGTTCGTCCCCGTCTGCAATTCTTCCCGTCTCGTCTCGTCTCGTCTCGTCTCGCCCTGTCTTGTTCTCACCGTTTTGTCGTGTGTCCTTGACATCTCCGTCTCGTCCCGTGCCGTCGTTTTCCTTCCTTTTTATTTTTTTTTCTAGTATTTAATGCTAGAGAGCTATTGTTTTTTTTATTCTTCCCCTTGTTCCGTTGCCCATGCTTTTCCATTTGTCATCGTCTTCGTGTCCCTCTCGTTTTCGTTTTCGTTTTCGTTTTCTCTCCCGTTATTTATGGAGATCGCGAATAAAGAATGGGACAGCATCAGACGACGCTGATTCGAGTGTAGGCGTTACCATGGAAACCATCTGACATCGCCGCTGAACAGATTGGCGACAGAGGCCTTTCAGTGGTGGCTAATGGCCTCCCCCACCCCCTCCCCTACACCCCCACCCTGACCTTCAACTCTCCTCTGTTTGAGACCGCTCCGACATTGCCATTATTGTCTAGCTTGTCTGAAATCGGTCTGTGATAGCACAAACATGCCGCAGAGCCACGAGCGATGACCGCACTCTGCGATACATTCTTCGGAGCTTCAAAACATATTTGGATGACGGGTACCGAAAAATATGTTGGTGCAAGGAAGTGTAAACCTACCGCCTTGTACCAGTTCCCGCGAAGCCGTCAGCAACCACCGGTTCATTCACACCTAATTGCCTTCTGAAACGGTATTCGACACTGTGTACCACCAGCAGATTTGACACACATCTGACATACATCCGACACACATCTGACACACCCTTACACACCCTAACTCACCGATGACACATATCTGACACTCGGCCGAACTTCTTTCTCCGTGCAGGTAATAAGCGCCCAGCAGCTGCCGAAGCCACGGGGATCCACGGCCAAGGCGACTGTGATCGACCCGTACGTGGTTCTGCAGGTGTTCGGAATCCCCGCTGACTGCGCCGGTGGGTGTCGCTCTGCCGTGTCTGACACGCTGGGGGGGGGGGGGGGAGGGCTTGAGGGGAGAGAAGGGAGATATTACTGAGTAGTCCGACGGGTGGGGATATAGGTTTTATGTTTGCTTTGAATGGGAATCACGTGGTGAATTTGTGTCTGCCATCCGTTTACCATGATGAAAAATGTGAGGAGAGGTATGAGTCATTTCCCGTATAAATGTGTTTTTGGAACCAGTTACATTTGGAACGTGTCTTCAATTTTTAGTGAACTCATCGGTCATAACTCGCTCGCCTTTCCAACATGACCAAACATCGATTCCTGCTCAAAATGACCCAATATCAGGACCGCTAACGTTCTCGTTTTTCCGACGATGCCAGTTTACTCACACCCGTTGTGAAGGGTGTGTAAATTCTACGCATTATCCAAAGTATGTATGTGTGACACTACCCCTCCCCTCCTACTTTTCCCAGAGGTACGAGGCCGAACGGTGTCCAACGAGGGCAACTCGCCGATTTTCGACGAGCCGTTCGAGTTTCTCATCAACCTACCGGAAATGGCGCTGCTGCGCTTCGTCGTTCTCGACGACGAGTTCATTGGCGACGACTTTATCGGCCAGTACTCGATACCTTTCGACTGCCTGCAAACGGGTGAGTTTGGATGGAGGGAGGGGAGAGATGTTTGGCCGGGATGGGATGGAAAAGTTGTGTAACCTGAGAGAACTAGAAACTGGAGTGGGGAGTTCGGAGAGGAGATTGAGTTGAGGATGAGACAACGAACGGTGATACAGAAGAAAAGAAGAAGTCTGAAATTAAATTGGATAATTTCACTCAATCATTGAGCTAGTCAGAGGGATATGTATATTACTGTAGTTATTGTGTGATAATGCACTAGCTTAAGTGAATCAACGAAATAAAGGAATGTTAAAAACGGACAGTTAAATCGAACTTAGCCTGGAGACGTCAATAAAATAGAGCAAAGACCAGACTCACAAGCTATATCCTCGTTGGATAGATGCGATAATTTAATATCCTACTTCAAGAACTCAAAGGTTGATGGAAACAGCGCGTGACATTGGATCTCCCTCTGACCGGATGGCACCAACTCTCCTTCCGAGCTCCGGGTAATGGTGACGAGCCCATCTGGTGTATACCGGATCACACCGGTACGGATCAGTTCGGTTCTTCGCGCACCGACGAAACTGGTGGCCTAGGACTCGGTTTACATACAAATGATGTCATTTTGAGGCGGCATATGCGGGCGCGACCAATATTCTCCCACTCAATAATCCCCACATCAACCACGACCCAAGGCGGAGGCAGAAATTCTGCTGTACCTACATATGTCGGAAGCGGTTCCGGAGTATTTCAATGGCTTTCCCTGCTAGATGTTGTCGGAAGTTCTTTTCGCTCGGGATGGGCCATTTTCATTGGGTCTTGTGGGAAATGTTTCTAATAGTAGGGGAAGTTGGGGCAATGCCGGAGTTGGGGCAAAGCCGAAATTCGAGATATTTCGAAAACCGTAAGACATGGATGCCACCTGTCAGTGATGCTCTGAAGCTTAAGTGACTACAATTATCGCATGTTTGTTACGAGTCGTCATTCGGAATACTTCGGCTGTGAGGGCGCCAAGAGCGTTTTCAAGGTACGCGTTCCTTGTACTACATGCGCCTTTGAAGCTGCATTTCTTACTCATTATGCTACCGTTTGTCTGGCCAATTCGGTCAAGTAATCTTCAGCATGTCTTTGCATAAGTGTGCTGCCTATTTGAAATTTATACGGCACGTTGAAAAGTTATGGGCCTGCAAATGAAAGTATGGCTGGCTGGGGTAATGCCGAAAACGTGCAATTACGTACGTTAAAGCACGCTACGTGGACTTTACTGCTGTAGAATAGCAACACGAATTTTTAGTCACACAAATTACAGTTTCAACCGACACAACGGCCTGTTACCTATAAGGAATCATTTACCTGGCATTTTCTTATTATATCACACAATTATAACTTCCAGTGTGCACCAAGCGTCCTCAAGCTCTTAAAACGCGTGTCAGCTTTGATAAATTCTGGATAAATTTTGAGATAAAGTGGTTAAACATCAATGTCGGCATTCCCCGTAGATCATTTCTCCCATTTTCGGCCTTCCCCGCAGTCCGGGGCAACGCCGAAAAAGTCACTTCTTTGATATTTTTAGTTTGTTCGCTTAACGGTATGCGAATTCATCAAATGCGCCTGGTATGTTTGAAAGGCAAAAGACTGGCCTCTCGAATGACGCCAACAAGAATAGCTTATGTTGTCTACCTTGCGTGCTACGGGCGTCAGAAAAAAAGTATTCGGCGTTCCCCCAACTTCCCCTACGGTCTGACGAACAAAGACAAGAAGTGTGAAAATGCGGTTTCTAGATCCAGCCAATAAGCCCAAGTGAAAAGGTATGGTATTTGGCTTTGCCCTTGGCCTTGCCGAAGTCATAAGACCTGAAGTTCAGAAATTTGAGCTGATTAACAGCTGAACATGGCTGGACTTTAAGTGCCTAAACGGACGATTATATGTTTTTTCACGCTGAAAGGATGCAAGCCATATGTCTCGTCTCCGTAACACATTGCATAAGTCAATCCTAGCCTATCGGCTGAGCACGTGGCGTCGTGACCGCATTGTGTTATTTGCCGGCGAAATGTACGGACACGTAGCTACTTTAGGATTCAGTCGCCGCATAAGGCCTCACTGGTGTATTTATCAACGCACCGTTAGCTCTCCGAACATTATCTGGCATTTAGTCATCCCTGGTGTCCGTGCTGGCTATTTTTAAAATGCAAATCATGCCATCATTCATGGTTACAGCCGAAGCAAGGCTTCAGTGATCGAGTCCAAGATATGCGAATCAATCCACCATTTATCGGAAAGTTTTCATTTATCGTACCTGGTCCCTGGGCCCTAATGGCCTCCGTGAATTCCTTTTCTACAATACGACGCAATCGTAGGACGCTTATCACCAATGCATCCCATACGGTCGCAGCCCGTTGGCGTCGACTGCCTCACTACCATCCAGCAGACTCTCGCACCCCCCCCCCCTCTGGCAGACGGGAGGGGGGGGGGGGTTGCGATCGAAGAAAGGAGCGGCGAATGACTGGGTATCTGGGTCAACTCTAAATCCGGCCCTACGGAAACGACACCCACCGCTCGTAATACAATCGTAATTTCTATCTTCGGACATCCCAGAACTTTTCTTTTAGATTGTATTTCAATTCTGAAACGGATTAAGATATATCATGTGTTAAGTGCCGAGCGCAGCGGAGCGATGCAGCATTGATGGGCTTTAAAGCGACTCTGTGAAATGTGCCATATTCGCCAGTTTAATTGAAAGAAATTGGAATCCGAAACTGGTGGCTAGACAATATCGATCCTTGATTGTGGTGTGGTGGACCGAAAATGTCTGCGAATTGGTTCAAATGACCGACTGTCTGTCTGTGCCTCCCGACTGGCGCTTGTGACGTGACAACTGTCGCCTGTGACTGATGGTTGAAGACTGTGCCTTCATTGTCTGTGACTGAATGTTTTTTTTTTCTGTCCGTGACTGATCGTGATCACAGTGTCATACCTGTGACCGACTACTGCCCACCTGTGGCTGACCCATGTAGCCTATGAGTACGACTGCCCATAAATGCGCCACTCTGTTGTCAGGTTATCGGCACGTGAACCTGCTGTCCAACACGGGTGAGCCGCTGGACAACGCCACCCTGTTCGTCCACGTGGCCATCAGCAGCTGCGTCGCCGGCACGGTCAGTTCCTGATCCCACCAACCTCCTGAAAGGAGAGCTCTCAGCGCATGAACTACATAGAACTAAGTGTTGAGCGTGGGTGGAACACCTTTTTAATTGACCTATCTAATCCTGAGTGTATCATAATTATTGGTGCCATTATTAGTTTGTAGTTGACGCACTCCTAAACATCAACCATCAATGTCACTACACTTCATCTTGGCTTACTAGAGTCCACGCTAGACCGGAATATCGATTTGTCTCCGATATTCTCTTCTCTTTGTGTCTACCCGCCCCTGTAAGATCCATCGTCTCCCCATTATTTCGCGTGCCGCAGAAGGTTTTCGCAGTATCCTTGGCACGCGAAACGACCATCGGTTCTTCGTTTCCCCGAGTGATTAGTGTCGGTCCCCACTGTGCGATTAGGTAGGTACTCTGTCTCCACTCTGACTCCCACCCCACCCCCCACACACACACCTCCCACCCCCTGATGGGCATGACCAGTCTACGCATGGTCTTTCTTTCAAGTCTACGAAGTTAGTTAGGTACCTGAATAGCCACTAAAGGCTGACGTTTATCAGACTTAGCGTATGATATGTCAAGGAATGTGTCCTGTGGCGATTTAAATCAAAATGACCCGCATTTCATGAATGCATATTCATGATCAACTTTTCAGAAGGGTCAGATCTTGAGAAGACTTAGCGATGGCATCAATGCCATTCAGCGTAGTGAATTGAATATGGGAGGAAGAATGCCACCTTTTGAGTCGATAATGATATTTAATTAACGATTTATAAACTCGCATGACATCTTGCATTATTGCATATCCCATTTATGAATCCAATCTCGCTTGGTAGCCAGAGAGTATCGTTTCGTTAAGCATTGCCGTGTCGATAGCTTGCCTGCCTGATGCCCCAAGTGTTTCGTTCGCTAAAACTGTCATTACGAGTGAGTTGTGACCGTCCATTCGGGTCCTCCAAAGGAGCTTAGTGAGGCCTGATTGCCTTGAAGGTTCGGTTGGTGCCTGTTGCCAACTGCCAATTTCAGCAGAATGAATTGGTGTTGAATGAAAAAGCAGATTGGACCGAAAGTGAAATAGCAAAGGCCAAACACCTCGTCCATAATTAATTACGGACTTATAAGGCATCACGGTATAGGTGGTGATGCTGTGTTGACGTACCAAAGTATAAATGTAGAATGATTTTAGGATGAATGTGACTTAGAAACAAAGATTTGCTGTCATTGCTGTCCATTGTCGTGTAGGAGTATGACACCGTTTATTTCTCTTTCAGAGGCGAAAATCCAGATCTGAGAAGATAAATATGGAAATCAAATCTATCGGGCTGAAAGACGTTGACGAGTTCTTCAAAGTGGTAAGCTATGTCGCAACGTTGTTGAGCTTAATTCCTCCGGCTTTATGATTCTGTTGAAAGTTATTCACATAACTACAGATGAGAGCCGTGCGTCGGAATGCCAAAACCCGTCACCATTCAGCTGAGATTTTCATCAGCGCTGCGGCATTCAGCGATAGGCAAACAGTCTTGGAGCGCCGGCGTCTCCGCGTCCCCGTGCGCCCGTCTATAGACGGTGATTTCCATATCGGCCGGCGCTCGCCGCTTTCCATAACTTGATCGGGACGCCGGCCGTGTGGAGCCATACGTGTCCACGGTGCACCGGCCGGCCCCCCGAATTGATACCGCCATTGTAATGGTAATCGCGTGTGCCATCATACCGATAACGTGTTTGGCGCCCGGGAGGGACGTGACTGACGACATATTGGTAGCCTTCGGTGTCGCCAGGCTGCCCAAGTGGAATTTGATGATGCATTTTTCAGGTTCCTCTGGTAACCTCCGTATTTGTCACAGAATCTGAATCATCTGTTAACCCGCATCGATCTCTCCTCCCTCGGCACTTGCTAAGCTGCCTTGCTAAGTTTCCCTCTCATGGAACCAGGGTCCTTCTAGGATGAACCTGGTTCGCTCTTAATTTATTTACCTTCTTCCCCACAGAACGTAATTTATCCGAAAAATTACCTACCCCACAGAACCGGCTTCCCCTGCTAACTTCAGCCTCCTCCACAGAGCTGGTTCCTCTATACCTGGTTCTCCCGTCTCCACCGCAGAATCAGGTTCCTCTGTAACCCTCTCCCTCCCCCGTCTCCCCCACAGAACCTGGTTCCTCTGGTGGCGCAGGCGATGAAGTGGCGCGCGGACGTCACGGACTCGATGGCTCGACTTCAGTCCGAGTGCGGCCTGGGCGACACGGCCAACATCAAGCAGTGCGTGCGCGTCATCATTCAGCGGCTGGCCAGTGCGCACGACGTCACCGGACTCGTGCTCAGGGAAGAGGATGGGGTGAGTAGGGGTACTGATGACCGCTGATGTGACAGAAGGGTGATGTGGCGAGGTATGATCGGACTGATGTGGTCATTGATGTGACAAGGGGTGATGTGGACAGCAATAATGGGGCTGATGTTGCCGAGATGATGGGGCTGATGTAGCAGCGCTGACATCTCTTGCATTTATATCTGCAGAAGAATGTCACATTTGGGCTGCCATTCTGAGAGGCATGCTGTGTTGCCAGTGCCGTTCTGTATGAGCCTGTTTGCCCTCTATCATTGTGTTGAGATCTCCTTGTGTCGTGTCCATAGCATACACACACCATTCACACGCATCTCAGCACACATCGCCCCCTCTTCTCACTTCTCCCTCCCTCGCGTATGCCCAACAGTTGCCGATGCTGGTGGTGAGCGGCGGCCCGCTGTCACCTCACCTCAGCCGCTCTCTGAGCACGCTCGAGTCAGCGCTGCTCGAGTTCGGTCACATGACCACCGGCTGTGACGACCTGGTCCGCCAGCTGCACGCCCAGTTCGCCGTGGTCACTGAGATGTACGAGGGTCTCGGAGACCGCTGTCTGGCCGCCGGACTCAAGGGAAAGAAGAAGGACAGGGCGCATGAGAATTTCGCCTGGAACGCGCGGGTTATACAGGGTCAGATGGATCTGCTGGAGGCGTGTAGAAGAGACTGCCGGCAGCGGCTACAGCAGGTGGGTATCCTACACCAGCTGCTAGATTTTAGATGTAGCTGTTGATGAATTACATATTTCCAATTCGGTTGGGTCGGAAATGAATACACGAAACTTGTTAACTATTCCGTGGCGAGCCACAAATGGAACACAAGTTTCGCTAGCTGGTCATTCCCAGAGTCTCGACGCTTCTAGCTGGTACCATTTTGGTTCACGAAATCAGCCAACTTTGCCTATCTCGCCGTTGCGTTTCAGTCGCTGGTTCTCGCTGTGATCTGACGCTCGCTTCTGTCGGGTGTCCACAGATGCAGTCCTCCCAGGACATGATAACCAAGTACCTCTCCAAGGACCGGTCTCCGGCCACCCGGGAGCGGCCGCGACTGACGGTGCCGCTGCCGCCGACCGAGCGGGAACCTCCGGTGTGCCACACACCTCCTACCCCGGCCACCTCGAGCGGCGACCTGCGGCCCAAGAGCATCCTCAAGAAGACCAACTCGAGCGTGGAGCCGAGTCTGGTGGTCGACATGCAGCCGCTGGGGCTGACTGAGGCGCCCGTCAGTCCGCTCTCGCTGAGCCGCGCCTCGGTGACGCCGCCCGACCCGGACACGGCCTTGTGATGGACGTCGGCGCAGCTGGCCCTCGTGTGGCTACTGGCGGGCTCGCGGCCGGGCCGGCGGACCGCTGCGGCCGGTCCGCCGGCGGCAGAGCGCTGCCAGGGGTGCTGTGAGGCGCAGCAAGTCGCCGCGCCGCCTAGTCTCTGTGTGCGAACTCAGGACCCGGCTCTCGCCCGTGAAGGAGCGGAGAGACAGCGAGAAGAGAGAGATGAATCATGAGCAATACCGCGGGTGTCGCGCTCGCTCGCTCGCGCGGCGCCGGGCCGCCCGGTGTCGTCAGTAGGTACGTTATTTGTTATCCGCTCGCTGCACTTGTGATTGTTATTATGAATGTGTCGTCGGCGCCCGGGCGCTGCCGAAGACCGGGTGTCGCCTCTGACCAGAATAGTGTCATGTAGCGCGAGCGAGAAGTTAGTCAGACGACGTTGTGCCAGTTACCCCGAATAAAATGTCATGGTATAGAAGATGAATCACGTGTTTCAGCTGTAGTACGAACAAGAGTATGGCATGACAGAATGGCGATAGAAATGAGCCACAGACGGTCAACTACACTATACCGTTATTCCTGACAAATTATGGCATGTTTGGTTTCCTGACTTGTAAGCACCGCACAGGTAGCCCGTTGAGTGAGTTGGCCTGTCCCCTTGACTGTCCGTGTTTTGCTGAGCACTGTGCCAGATTATTGTAAAACAGTGTAACGCAGGTGGAACATGTAGGGCCCGTGTAATGAGGCGCTCGACGGCCGAATCGACCCATGTTTTGTGTCAATGCTGATAAAAACTGTCCTGGGACCCATCATAACACCACAACATCTCCAAATATGGTAGGATTAGAGCCCAAGCCGCTGTAAACCACGTCACGAACTGTCTCGCTAAGAGCTCCCCAGAACGCCACCCTGCAGTCCATAGTCGCGACAGAACCGTTATATTATCGTATTCACGAACGCGAAGTCTCTCCAAGACCCCGCCAAGTCACGAGTCACCGCGACACACAGAACACTGACGAAAAGGTCCAAGACGCCTGCGCTCACTCGCCACAAGCCGCGATTCTGCCACGTCTTCGGTGGCATTACGAGAAAACGCGCGGAAAGTGAGAATCGAACCCACGACTTGGCGATAACAGCCAACGCCGCCGGCGCTAAGCACTCTCAAGCCACGTAGTCGGGATTTTTCCGGAGAATGACGAAGCCTTCGAGGACTGAGGTGAGGGGTACGTACTCTTCTGTGGCCAGCTCGGCGCGCTCTCCATACGCCAGCAGCACGGGTGTGGTGTGGGTCTGGAAACCGGTGATGGTCTTGGGCTTGCCGGCCTGTCCCACAACGTCCACCGCCTGGGGGAAGGAGGGACAAGTCGTCAGTCAGCTCAGCAGTGGCTAGGTCTTAGAAAGAGGGACAATTACTTGGCTAATGATGGTGGTTCTACGAATGTAAATTGAGCACATTATGCTGGTGAATGGTGATTCTCTGACATCAACTAATATCGGCACATGGGACATTCCAATGTACAGCCCTCTGCAAACTGCGTGGTAGGTATTCTTTTTTCGACAAAACCCAGAATATCGCGGATACTATGCTATCGGTCACTCGGAAATCGTAACAGCAAGACGCGCGAGACTCCGCACCTTAGATGGGCATTACCATCGTGTCCATTTTCCATCCAGTGGCAACAAAACCCAAAAGTTTATATTTGCCCCCAAAACAAACTGCTGCATTTTGTTGCCACACAAAGCATATACTTTGTTTAGTGATAGACCCAATCGAAGGAGTGGAGCATGGTGCCTCTATTTGCAATGAATTCCGACCGACAGATCACATAGTCTTTGAGTTATTACCGGTTTTGTCGAAAAAAGAATACCTACCACGCAGTCTGCTGAGGGCTGTACGTAAGCGTCAGCATCATCCTACGACTTACGACCCGTAAGATAATGCTTTTGCGTGCGGTAATGCCAAGAGTAAATTGAGTCGTGATGCAACTGTGAGCATCGTTTGCTAGAAAGTGGAGCATACGGGTAAATCCCGGTTCACGCTGTTGTGTTGATAAAGGTCAACGCTTGCGTCATAATGCCACAGGCAGAGCGCAAAGTATGACATTTTCCCCGCATGTCGCATAAGCGTCTGAAAAATCCTTGCGACCAAGGCATCCATATGAAGCATTGCCACACGGTCATACATCTCGCTCTACTGACCTGACCGACGCGGACAGAGACGGGCAGCGGCTTCAGTTCCTCGTCGAAGGTGACCAGCATCCGCGGCTGCATGGCCGTCGTCAGGCAGAACAGCAGATAGTGCGACTTGCCCAGGATCACTGCAACAGGAGCCGCAGGACGTCAGCATTCGCGCAACAGGCAGCGAGGTTTGGGGCGTAATGGTTACGGTCGAGATGACAACTCAAGAGTGCATGGAAAGTGAATAAATGTTTCTGTCCAATCATCAATCGGCAATCCGCGTAGTAACACTGCGACAAATATTAGTTTCGGAACCATCCATTGACAACACAATATACGACCATCCCATGAGATAATCATTCGTTGAAATTGTGCACCCCTTGATCATGGATTGTTACTAAAAAAAAGCCAGCCACGAGAGCAAACGACCGATCTACTCAGATCCTGGAGGCCCTCACATTAGAGCGGTGCTGACGTTTGCCATTTCCTAGCCACAGCGGGTCATTCTGCCAGCCACCATCAGCCCAATCCCTTCTCTGTCGTGGCCAAAGTCGCCGCCGCAGCCACTAACGTGCAGTCGTCAGCAGTCGCCCCCGGCAGCAGCTGGCGCGGTGGGCGGCAGGCGGGGGCGGAGGCGGGGGCGGCCGTCGGGCGGCGGTCGATGGCCGGTGGGAATTTACAGTTTCTCAGAAATTGCCACCACCATCAAGAATAAAACATATTATTATTCTGCTATAAGAGTGCGGTCGACGTCCGAATTATGTCAGCACTGATACTGCTGCAATCTCGAACGGTCTCCTATTCTATGCCGCCTACGCCGCTCCAGCGATGACTCCCCTCCCACGTTGTGTTGCCATGGCAGCTGTCTCGCTGTCTTCTCCGCCGAGCGCAGCAACCGCCGCAGAGAACGACCCTTGTGGTAATACAATCGGGCATAGTAGCGGAAGCATAGCGCATGATCGAGCGTAGCCGAGGAATCACAACTGAAGGAGCTTCTCCCCAGACAGGTGAAACTTCGGGTCCAGAACGGACTCAAAGCCGTTGCACTTTGTCATCTAGTGCCAGACGATACGGCAATTCTTTAGAAGTGTGTTATGTAACTCTCGGTCGCTGTCCAGCCCCGACTCGGTCCTTGGCCATGGCAATGACTTTGGCTCTGGTTTCTAACCGAAACGACACTCATTGATCGTCATTTCTACTCAGTGAAGTTCCAGCTCAGCGTTCAGGGTTCTAGTTCTGGCTGGGGATGTAGTTCCTGCTCCGCCCTCCCCGCTATTGTGTGTCCTGACTCCGACTCTGGGTCTAGTCCGGTCCTGGCTTTGGCTGTACCTCCGATTGTTCCTGTGGTTCCTTCCTTCTGAGTTCTGAGGTTCCACTCTGGTTTCGGCTACCCCCGGCGTTGGTTCTGATCCCATCTCATATCTTGAATCCGACAGCGGTAGTCTCTGCGTCGGAGCCGTCCGTGTTGCTAACGGGACGCTGCGCTGCGACATTTAGGAAGTTCCGCTCCACGAGAATAGCCAGGCTCCGTCGGCCGTCCCTCGAGTGAATCGATGCCGGCGCGGTAACCCGGCCGAGCGCTCCGAGCGCCCGCTCCGGCGCCAGACGTACTTCCCAGAACAGACGCTCAGCTGAGCCCGATTTTAATTTTCATCATGAAAAATTCTGAGAGGTGGTGCGCGAAATAATGAGGGTCGTTCGTTAGAAGGCTATTAGAGGAGGTAGTGCACCCAGACGTATTGTAAATGAATGTTAATTTGAACGCGTTTACAGCGGGGTGCCGACCCGACACCGCCATTATTCATGGCCCTGACGTGGACTTGGCCGCAGAGCTGGACAGCGTTCAACCACTAGCGGCGTTACATAACATCGTAAATAAATGAGACGGGCTGCTGCTTCAAACGTTTGGCAAACCGTACGCTAGTGACTCACAAACAGGTTAAACTGACGACCTTACACACTTAGTAATTACCCTAATAACCGACAACAGCTAACAAAACAAGACCCAATGTCAACACCACCGAAAACTTCCTGCACTGCATCAATACTTTTTTTTTACACATGCCACTGGCTTGAACGTCGCCGCTATTCGACGCATGCTTTGTCCCTTTACACACTGCCCGTCGTCCGTAAGGGAACAATATTTACAACTGAAAGGAAGCGAGTTTTACGGCGGCGCTCCCGGGTGAACCAGCGACAAACTTTGGAGATTTGAAACGAACGTAAAAACGTAAGGCGTAAAAACATACGGTGACATCCGCCGCTTCATAAAATCCGTAGGAGCCATCTCATCAGGGGGTATTTGGCCAACACCGGAAGTTTGCCGAAGTTACGCCGCGCCGTGCCAATCGCACAAAACACGCGACCCGTGCTTCGTGACGCTGGGTGGCAATACATATCTGATGGTAACACCAAGACGGAGGTAAAGCAAACCAACGAAAATACTGAACTTTAGTCGTAATATTGCAGACGCATCAATACTTGTCTTCTTGATAATGCCGAACCAGCAGCATAAAACACAGAAATCAATGCGGTGAATCTTCATTCTCAGCCGGTCTCTAACGTGCCCCAGGCGAGATTCGACCAACCCACTCCACAAGTCAGACTATCTCTCTGACGTCCGTCCCATCCCGTGTTATCGTGCCCCCCCCCCCCCCCTCCTCGCCCACTGCAATCATATCACATGTGACATCACACCCCAGTACGTCACAGACCGCGCCCCAGCGCCGGGCCTCTCCCGTGGCTACCCGCCACACCCCCAGTTTTGTTTGTACTCGGCACGATTACACTGTCCGTCCCCAAAGGTCAACGGATGATCGCCTGTCGACATCCTAGTTGGTGCTAGCCCGTATAATCAGCCGGTATATGTACATCACATTTGCGTGTCCCATCCGCCCGTCTTTCCTGATCCCCACCCACCTTCAATAAAAATAATTCGCCCTTTTCTTTCCTTACATTATATCAGCCCTAATCTCTTCCTTCTTTCCACTCGCCCATCCTTCTAACTTACCCACTCGTTCCTGTCCTCCTCACGCTGCCCCAGTGAATCTCCTACCCAAACACTGCCCTCCTTCACTGTCCTCACCCTTGCTTTCCATATCCTACCAAACTCTCCCCACCCCCCACGTTCCCTCCCCGTCCGTGACCCTCTCCCTCCCTACCCCTCTCACTCACGTGACTTGACGTCCAGGAAGGCGGTGAGGGTAGCCATGAGACCTGCCACAGCCACGGGCGACATCAGGGCCCGGTCGCTGTGCCAGGGGTTCAGCGTCAGCGTGCCCTTGCCCATGTGCGTCAGACCCTGGG